CGCCCGCGTATGCTACTCTTTGTTCGTTGAGAGCGCGAGCCACATGTGCCCGCGTTGGTGGAACAGTGTATTTCGAGACCGATGGACTGAACTTTTTCTTGCGCCTTCTTGGAGGTGGTCTTCGTCGCCAGCTGCGAGCTGGAGCCGCGGAGGTAGCGGTGCGACGAGCCTCCTTTCCACCCAGCCTGAGAGGGCCTCGGCCCCGCTCCGACCTTCCCTACCTCCTGGCGCCTCTTGCCATTCAGTGCCTCCCCCGCCGTTGCCCCCTTGACCCCCCGGGGATCGGGCGGGGTGATTGCGGAGGGGGTGCGGGAAGGGCAGGGGCCGGGCCGCCGTCTGCTGGCCGTGGCGGCTCGCTGGCAGCCAGCGCACGTGCGCGACCCAATTTCATCGCGTGCGCGTGCCCGCAGCCTGCGCCCGGCGCCTCCACTCCACCCGTGCAGTGCGCTCCTTTCCAATTGCCACGTCGTAGCCCTTCGCAGCCTTTTGCGCGAGCAATGGCAGGGGCAGGTGCCGCTTTTTGCCCGGCCCCAGCTAGCGCTGCGCCGCAGCGCTTCGCCGCCGCGCGCGAGAGGCCCCGCCGCGTGAGGCAGGCTAAACGGATTAACGGGGGGGGGGGCGGTGGTTCAACGTGCGCGGCCGCCATTGGTGGCGCCTTTCCGCCCTGAGGGGCCTCCAGTTCGGCCCTGGATGCCCTTCGCCTGCCTCGGCTGGTGTTGGTGCGCGGGTTCGAACTGGCGGTCGCCTCGCTGGGTGCCCGCCCCGCCGTGGCGCGTGGCCGCCCAGCTGCCCGCGCAAGCCTGCCGCTCGCCCCGCGCGGCTTTTGCGGCGCAGGCCAGGCGGTCCCCGCTAACAGAATCGACGGACGCGTCCACGCGCTACTGTAGCCTTTCCGCGGCGCGACCGGCTGCGGGCCGCTGCGCGCAGTTCTCTCGCGCTGACGCCGCAGCTGCCGCCGCGCCACCTTCCTCGCATTCTTTGGCCTGCATGTCCGGCGGTGTTGCCCCGCCCCGACCTCCAGCCCGGCGCTGCGCCGCAGTGCCAGCCGTGGCAGGGGGGGTCCGCGGGTTGGCGTGCATGTATGTATGTATGTATGTATGTATGTAGGTAGGTAGGTAGGTAGGTAGGTAGGTGGGTGGGTGGGTGGGTGGGTGGGTGGTTGGGTGGGTGGGTGGGTGGGTGGGTAGGTAGGTATGGGGTATGTATGCATGCATTCAGGCATGCATGCCTGCAGGCAGGCATGTACGTTTGTATGCGTGCATGCGCGAGGCGAAGCACGGCGGCGCGAGGCGATTCACGGCGGCGCTCGAGCACGCAGAAGCACGTGCCGACGAGCGGGCAGGAAGGCGGACGGGCGGCCCGCAAGTCCTGCAGTCGCTTGTCGAGGCCCGCCGCCGGCCGAGCCCTCCGCGCCACGCCGGGGCGGGGCACACGCCCGAGGGGCGGCGCGAGGGCCGCCAGGAGCACCACCCCCACCACGACGCGGGGCACCGTTCTCGCAGATCAGATGCCAGGCAGGCACGGGCAGAGTGACGGCGCCTCTGCCTCGAGAGGCCGTGTAATCGCTGGCTTGACTCGTCGCGGGACCCTCTTCGGGACCTCCTGGGGAGTCCCCGACGGCGGCGCCTCGGGCGCCGCCCCTCGCGCCCTCCGCGCGCCAGGGAGGCTGATCCAGCCCGATCCAAGAAGCCTTTGACAGCGTATGCTTATGCAGACTTCTCTGCCTCTAGCCCCAACATGCTGATACTATGTGTGCGTCTCCCCCTCCGGGGCGTCGCGCGCACCGAAAAAATCTTGTAGTATCTGCGTCGTGGCGGGCTCTTTCTGGCTACACCGCTCGGGAAACTGTATACTACAAGATGGGTATACTATATGCTCGGGTCGGACGCGCGCCTCCAAGGAGGACACATAGTATTAGTATGTCTCTGTGCGTCCCATGGGTTGGTGAGGTCTGGAGGCCCTCTCGGGCTCTCTTGGAGCCCATGGCTCAGCCTCTGCCGCCTCGGCTCCCCGCGGCTCAGGACCCCCCCCGCCGCCCTCCTGCCGCTCCTCCTCCTCGTCCCTTTTCCCTTCGTCCGCTTCTCCTGCTCCTCTCTCCACACATCCCTGAGCTGTTTGCTCTACTCCTCCCCCGTAAGTTGCTGTTAGCTGAGCATCTTCATCCCTCCCTCCCTTCCTCACTCCCTCCCTTCCTACCTCCCTCCTCCTTCCCTCCCTCCTCCCCCCTTCTGCTGCCGCTGCTCCTCCCCTCTCCCGCGGAAGAAGTCCGTCGCAGCGTTTTGTGCTGAGGCGTGAGCGTATCCTTGCAGTTTGCGGAGTGCCCCCTCCCCCAGAGGCGACTCCAACGCTGAATGGTATGGCCGACCTGGAGATGCGCCTGCCTGGTTTGTCCGCCCGCTGCCCGACGGCTGGTGACGACCGCGGGCCATTTCCCCCTGGGGTCTCCCCGCTGGTGGGTGGGTCCAGCAGATCGTCAGAATCCTTGTGATTGCCCTGGCCAAGGACGTGTAGGTCGGCCGCGGCGTCGACAACGCTGGGAGCGCCCTCGACCGCATGGGCGGGCTTGGGGCTTGTGCCTGATGGAAAACGGCGCCTCCCCTGTCGCCACAGTCGGATTCGCCTCGGAAGCCTGGTCCGGGTGTGCCCTCGGAAGTCGCCCTGACTTTGCCCCGCCCTACCTCTCCTGGCACGCGCGCGTTTCGGCCTTGCGCGTTTCGGCTCTCGCCGCCCTTGCCGTGAGCAGCATAACGGGTTGGAAGCAGCATCTGGAGCTTCATGTCGGACTCCAGCAGCACGTCTGTGAGCAGCAGGTCGGCCCCCAGCAAGACCATTGTGAGCAGCATGACGGGCGCCATCAGCGCCATCGTGAGCAGCACGATGACTCCACCCAGCTGCACGATGTGCGCAACATGGCGGACTCCTACGGCAGCATTCCTGCGCGACCCACGCGAAACGATGCTGGAACTCAAACCCTCCTCGGAGATTTTAGAGAGTTGCCCACTTGTGAGAGGTTGCGTTGGCTCATTTCTCCTTGGCAACAAAGGGGGGCGACAGGGAATGCCAGATGGATGGGCGCCAGTGGCCCTAGCTCAACAATCGGAGGGCCTTGGAGGAGCAGCTGAAGGGCCTTGGAGGACCACCATGATATTGGAAGTCACCGACGCCGTGATGGGCAACTTCTCCAGGAAAGAGTCTTCATTGCAGGTGATGGCAGGCGGCGAGAGAGTGACGCCGACGGTATTTATTGTACGGGGCTTTCGGGGGCGATGCCGTTCACGGCAGTTAGCAATATGGTAATCCTCGGCGAGATGATCGACAACAAAGGGAGTACGGCAAGGAGTATAGACTACCGGTTGAGCAAGGCCGATAGCAATTTCTGGGCGAACCCGCATGCTCTTATGCGTGCCGGCCGGCACACGGGCTAAGTTGGACGCGTGGCGGAGAGGCCCGAGGGCTTCGGCGGTCCATGGTTCCGACAAGTGGCACCTCACCGGCGACCTCCTCCGGAAGTTCTGGACGCGGGAACTCTGATGTCTGCGGGAAACCTCCGTCTACGCAGGCGCCCCGGCGAGTAGCCCGCTAACTGTATGAAGCGGACCGCGTGCAAGATCAAACACATCATGGCCAATTGTGGCCTCGTTTCCACCCACGTTGATATACCCCGAGGTTATTTTCATGCAGCCTTCCGCCAGCAGGACTCGAAGACAGACGGCGGGACTCCCCTCCTCCAATCGGCGCGCGTTTTCCTGACCAGGAGGGACATTTGGGCCGTCATCCGGGAGGGCGACCCAAAATGGAGACGCGCCGACGGCTTTTTGCAACGATCAGGCGGTCGCAGGGCTACTTGGAAGGATCCGATCCTTCATCGCATTGGAGAACATTGGAGTGCGCAGCGGAAGAATGTGACGATATCAGGTTGGCGTGAGCTGGCGACGTCGTTTGTTACCCGTACCTGCGAGAGATGGTGCTTGACATGTGGTTCCTCACCATATTTTCCGTCGCCGGTTTACGAAGATGGAGGACAATCCGGAGATTGGAAGGAACGGCTTCAATCTCGAGGCCCGAAACCCAATGCCGACGAGCTCATGGACGCAGTGGCGCTCCAGGTCACATGGTCATCGTCTGGAAGACCTTTCGTGTGCGTGGCAGACCCCAAAGCTGCTTCGACAGTTGGTTTGCTGTCCTGGTCGCCTCCGGGATGGGCACTTCGAGCCGCTGCTATCCCGGGTGCTTGGACGTATCGTGCACCATATGGGTTCTGGATGGGCCCTGCCGCGGGTGTTTGACGACTCATTGCAATGGTGGCCGCGAGAGTGTAATGAGGTTGCCGACGGCCTCGCAGACTAGACGGTGGACATCCAGAGATCTTGGTTGCGGCGGTTTCCCGCGAGCGTGCTGCTCGAGAGCGCGAGCGTGGTGGCTTAGACCGACGGGGGCCTTCGAGACGAATGCTGCGCAGCATCCGCGTGAATCATCGTGGCCCGTGGGGCGTTCAAGCAAGAGCGTGGGCGCGTGGGCCACTCGTGGCAGCAGGCGCGTTTATAGACGCGCCGTGTTCAGTTTTCGGAGCGGAGGCCCCTATCCTAGACGAGGCTCCGCGGAAAGTTCCATGCCTTATACTTGCTTGCAACTGCGCTAGCAGCTGAAACTTCTGTTCCTTGAGCTGTGGAACAGAACGGAACAGGGGGCGCAGCGCTACGCAGACGCGCTCGACGTAGGGGGGTCGCCAGCAGCGGCGTCGACGAGCTCCCACTGGCGCAGTGAGATCGTGCAGATAGGTGGCGCGATCAGGAATTACAGCGAGACTTTTGTCTCACTCGATCGAGTTCGTGGCCGCAATGGGAAGGGGTGTGCGTGGGCTGAGCTGCAGGAGGCATGGCGTCGACGAAACATGGCAGCGGCCGCCAGATTGGCGCGCTTTTTGGCAGGTGCTTGCAATTGGATTAAAACATTGTAATGGCGGGGCTCGCCCAGTGTGCTCGCCGACGGAAGCAGAGTGGACCGCCCTTCTGGAAAAGGGCGCGCTGGTGGGGGGGCTGCGTGGAGAAGAAGCACCGTTCCCCAGTGCCACGAACCACCAACTGACCGATTTTGCTATTTGGAAAATTTAGATTGTTACGTTTTCCCAGACACAGTGCCAGGCGACCCCTGAGATGCCGAAGCAAGCGGGCGCAGATTTTTCATGATGTCGCGGCCAGCGCTCAGGAGGGCGCGGGCAGGTAATTTCCCCGCAGGTGGGCAGCCCCGTCGGGGATGCGCAGAATCATCGTGGGCCCGGCTTATTGCATGGCGTGTCAGCAGAATATGTGAAGCTGAAGCTGGAAGTTGGGGCTCGGCCGGGGCCGGCGCTCGAGGCAGAATCGCGGGCCCCCGACCCGTCCGCCAAGCAGCGTCTGAAGCGTTGGAAGAATTGCGATGTGCCTCGTCGACGGCTGCTCCGTGTTTGCCACCGCGTGCGGCGGTCGCCACTTCTGCGGGCGCCCCTGCCCCGCGGCTTCGCGCCCGGCGAGGGGGGCGGCGCGGCGGAGCCGCCTGTCGGGATATTGATCCATGTGGGGTGTTGTTGGCGGCGCGCTTCCCTCCGTGGCGGCCCCCTTCGCAGCGGCGCCTGCCGCCCGCCCCCGTGGGCCCTTGCTGCGAGAGGCCGCCTTCGCGAGCGCGTCGCGATGGCCGAGCGATTCGTTGCTTGGAACGGTGTTCGCTCAGGCCAGCCAGTGCTGCGCGAGAGCTGCGACGCCGCCGGCGCCTTCGGCTGCGGTCGCAAGGCGCAGCTCGAGGAGGGCGCCCGCGTCGGGCTTGTTCAGACAGAGGACGCGCGCGATGATGACGTGGGTTCTGCGCCGGAAGTGTCCGTCGAGAGGCGCGGGGGCCTCGCGGTCATTCTTCGGGGGGCGGACAGCGAAGTCGTCGTCCGCAGCGGCAGTGTAGGCCTCGTGGGCGGCGCGTCGGGGCCAGCAGTATTCCTTGTTCAATCTTGATTTTGCGATTCAGCGCCGGTCGAACTCCGGGCGGTCCTACGCCGAGGGCGACGCGGGGATTAAGTTTGACGAGTTCGCGCCCGTGGGCGCCGGCATGGGGGCCTCTGCAGCCGGCGCTCTCATGTGTCGGCTCATCCCGCGCTCGGGTGTCGCGGCAAAGGAGGTCGCCCGCCTTCCACGGCATGGCGGCCCCAGCGTGGGCCTGGTGTCGGCGGCCGGGCGGTGCAGCCGGAACGGATCGAAGCAGTGTGTTTTTCTCGAGTTCAGGAGTCGCCAACTTACTCGTGCCACTATCGACGAGCCGATGGAAAGTGGGCGTCGCGGTTGCCGCCGACTCGGGCGCGCGGGCGCGCGGCTCTACGCGGTGAGCAGCGACGCTGACGAGCTGCAGACGCGAGGCCGCGGCTGGATGATGGCGCTCTCTCATTTTGCTTGGCGGGTCTGGGACGAGACGGTGGCGCGGGTCCTCGGCGGCGAAACTGATATCAGTGATCGGCAGGGGAACGGGGCGCCCCGCCGACCGTGTCCGCGCGCCTGTGACCAGGGACGTGCACGGGCATTGGAACATGGCCCCGTGCGGATTGGATTTCCGTCTCGGCAAGCCGCGATGCGTCAACCGCATAACCCCGCGCGCTTCCCTTCCGCTTTTTCTGGCTTGATGCGGCGGGAATTCGATTCTGAGTTGCGCTGTTCTCCGACGCCAGTGGAGGGCGGCCCCCTGGGCGCGGATGGGGCCATCCACCCCCTGGGCTCGGCAGTTGCGGTGAGATCTGGAGCTCGTCTGCGGCTGCCTTGAAGGTGGGGGCTTCGCTTCGACGTGGGGCGAGTTTATCGCGGAATTGCCGCGGGGCGGGGGCGCGGGCCGCCTCTTCGTCGCCTCCGACCCGAAGCGCCTGCGCCGTGCCTTCGCTGCCGCGGAATGGCGCCTGGCAGAGGCCCTGGCAGCCGCTGCGCCTGGCGCCCAGGATGGCGATGTGCCGCGGGTGAACGCAGCGGGGTCTACTTGCGCGACCCCCGTCGTTTCGGGCGGTCAGAAGCGTGGCCGAGTTTTTCGCGCGCGCAGCGTCTGTGGCACATGTGTGTCGGTCAAAACAATGTGGGCGCGGATGCTGGGGCTGGTTCTATGTGATTTCGCCCAGCAATGCATGCGCTAATTTATGGTACTGTATTCCAAGCACGAACAGTGGCTGCGCGACACCTAGCCCGTTCCTGGCATGCTGGTGGGCGCGCGAGGCGCATCGCAGCGCACTTATGCAAGTTCGCAGCGCCATCGTTATGTACCTGTGCATTGTGCCGCGTGGGTTTTCCCGCGCGCGAGCGAGCTCCGTTGTCGTTCGTTGCTCGCGCTCGCCGCCAGCGCGTGGGGGCGTCCATTCCCGTGGCCGAACCTCGCCCGCCAGCTGCCTCGCCAGCCCCCCGGCCGCCTCGCCTGCGACTGGTCTTCGCAGCAGCTCCCCGGCCTCGCGGGCGCGATCGTCGTTCTCCTCGGGACATGCTGGTTCGCCCCGCGGCGCAGACGGCCCGCGGCGGCGAGGGCGCGGCGGCCCCGAGCAACTGCCTCCTCGCCTCAGTCAGTGGCCGGCGGCCTCCGAGCCCGGCGTGGGAAACCGCGAGCGGCGGGGGGCGGGCGGCGAGGAGGGGGCCCAGGCGGGTGCGGCCCATGGCAAGGGCTCGGGCGCCGCCCGCGCTAGGAAGCCGGGTGCGGAGAGCTCAGCGCGAAGGGCGCGGGGCTCGCGTGACCCTTGCCGCTGCCGTCGATGCGGGTGGCCCAGCCCGTCCAGCAGCGTCGCGCCGCGCGGGGCGCGGTCGCGCGCGCAGTGCTGATCGAGCCCCCCAGCGCCGTGGTCGGTGCGATGCAGGAAGAGAGCGAGCGGCTCGCGGCGCGGGCAGCGGGGCTCAGGGCCGCCGCGGGCGTGCTCAAGGGTCGGGTGGAGGCGGCGAAATTGAACGACGCGCCCGCAGGTGGGGCAGGCCTTCGAGGAGGCGAGGGGCACCGTGAGCGCGCTTCGCAGTCTGGGCCCGCCGCCCCCAGCAGCGTTCGCAGCCGCGATGGGCGCCTTGGCCAGTCGGGAAGCGAGTCGCGAGAAGATGGGGTCGCGGTAGCAGAAGGCGGTGGACAACCCGCCCGCGTGCGCGTTTGCAAGCTCGAGGCGCGCGAGAACGACGATCGAGCGAAACTAGTCATCGCTCTGGGCGACTTTGAAGGAGGCGGAGCTGGCGCAGACCTCGAGTCTCGGATCGACAGTCGCGGCTGGGGCAGCGCCGACGGGGCACCCGGAGGAGGAGATCAGTGCCTGAATTGACGTGCTGAGGAGCTAGGCGCGCCGCGGCCGCGGGTCCAGCCCCCCGGCGAATGCCGCCTCAACGAGTTCCACCATTTTGTTTTCAACGGCGACGACGTGGCTGTGGACCTCGAGGCCGCTCCATATTGAATAGGGGATAAGTCAGCGCGCGTGCTCATTGGACGTGCGCGCGCGCGCTCCGCCTGCGCCTTGAGCCGTGGGCTGCGCGGCCGTGCGCGCCTGGAGATGAATGGCGTCTCGGCGCGGGCGGCAGACATGCCGCGTGTGCGCGCTGTTTTGGCCCGCTCTGGTCTTCGCGTCGCTCCCCCCCCTTGCCTTTTGATCGCTCTTCGGCCCCTTTTCGCGTCGCCCGTTCGGCCCCCCTTCGCCCGGCCGCCTCGCGCGTTTAGGCCCCTGCGTCTCGCCTGTAGCGCGCCGCGCGTTGCGCCGGGAACTGAGGGCCCCCCTGTTTGCACGGTCGATGCGAGTAGAAAGTTGTAGATGCACAGAGGTATAATGGGGTGGTGATGATGGCGCCCATAATGTCTAACAGTTGTGTCGTTTTTTTTTTGGTTTCCGTAGTCGTCGTAGTAGTAGTAGTAGTAGTAGTAGTAGTAGTAGTAGTAGTAGTAGTAGTAGTAGTAGTAGTAGTAATAGTAGTAGTAGTAGTAGTAGTAGTAGTAGTGCTAGTAGTCGTAGTGGTACTCGTACTAGTAGTACTACTGCTACTACTAGCATTGCTAGTACAACTACTACTACTACTGCTTTGCAACTACTACCACTATTGCTACTACTACTACTACTACTACTACTACTACTACTACTACTACTCCAACGACGACGGCGATTACTACCACTACTACTACGACCGCAATTTCTTATACGACTAGTAATACTACTACTTCGACTACAACCATTACTATCATTACAACTACTAGTGCTACTATTGGTATTCGAACTATGGTTATTTTGTTATTACGACTACCACCTATTACTTCTCCTACAACTATCACTTTCCCCATTGCTACCACCAGTACTACAATCGCAGTGACTTCTACCACACCTATTACTACCACCGCTACTACCACTACTACTCAACATTTTTTGTTTACTACTACGAGTACTACAATTCCCAGTGCTACTACTACTACTACTGCGACTACAACTACTTTTATTACCACTACTAGTCACTCTTATTATCACTTATTGTTACGTTTATATTTTTGATAGTATTGGTCGCAGTGGTGCAGTAATACTAGTAGTAGTGGTAGTCATCGTAGTAGTGCTTCTGTTACCATTAGTACTGCGACCACTACTACTACAACAAATACTACGACCGGTAATTTTATTCCCGCTACTATTAGTATTAGTACTACTGGTACTATTTCGACTACTAGCGCTACTACTACTACTACTACGACCATTATTTCTATTACTGGTGTTACTATTTCTTCTATTTCTATTCTTCGGATCGCTGTCACTGTTAGTAAGTTTACAGCGGCCGTGAATACTACTACCACCACAACTATCATTACTAGTACTATTACGATCACTTTCACTACCACTACTAGTAATACTGCTGCTACTACTACTACTACTACTACTACTACCTGTATCTACCACTATGACTATTCGTACTATTATTTTCATTCTTTGTAGTAGTAGTAGTAGTAGTAGTAGTAGTAGTAGTAGTAGTAGTAGTAGTAGTAGTACTACTACTGGTACTACTGGTACTGGTACTTGTACCAGTACTGCCAGTCCTACCGTATTACTACGACTACCTGCACTACTGCCATTACTACTACTATTATTTCTAGTACTACTACTATTATTTCTGCTACTACTACTGCTACGAAGACCACTAATACCACTACTACTACAACTACGATTACTACTACTACTACTACTATTACTACTACTACTACTACTACTACTACTACTACTACTACTACTACTAGTAGTGGTATTCTTATTGCTACTAGTATCAATCATATTCGGACTTGTAGTACTACTACTACTACTACTACCACTACTACCACTTCTACTGCCACTAATGCTACTAGTACTACTACTACTACTACCACGACGACTACTAATATTTCTACTATTACTATTTCTATCAGTAGTACTACTGCAACTACAACAACTACGTCTATTATGATTACTATTACTACTACTACTACTACTATTGCTACTACTACTACTACTGCTAGTATTATCTTTATTATTATTCCTAGAAGTGCTACTACTATCACTACTACTACTACTACTACTACTACTACTACTTTTTACTACTACTACTACTACTATCACAACTCCTACTCCTACTCCTACTCCTACTCCTATTCCTACTCCTACTCCTACTCTTACTCCTACTCCTACTCCTACTCCTCCTCCTCCTCCTCCTCCTCCTACTACTACTACTACTACTACTACTAGTACTACTACTACTACTACTACTACTACTACTACTACTACTACTACTACTACTACTACTACTACTACTACTACTACTACTACTACTACTACTACTACTACTACTACTACTACTACTACTACTACTACTACTACTACTACTACTACTACTACTACTACTACTCCTCCTACTACTACTACTACTACTACTACTACTACTACTACTACTACTACTACTACTACTACTCCCCACCTTTCCTCCCCCTCCTCCCCCTCCTGCTCCTCCTTCTCCTGCTCCTTTTCCAACTCTTCCTCCTTCTTCACCTCCCGCTTCCTGCTCCTCCTGCTTCTGCTCCTGTCCCCTGCTCCTCCCCCGTGCTGCCTCCCATCAAGCATCGGCCACTGGACTTTTTTTTGCTTTCTTTCCGGAATCTCGAGCCCATCCAGCCGTGGCCCACGAGAGGCTTTCCAGGAGGCCCACGACAGTTCCCAAATGCCAGGTTTCGGATAGTCGAACTTCGGGTGCAATTCCTGGCAGGTTGAAATCAGTATCTGCGTTGTTATATCCGTGGCCAAAACCGGGCCAATCCTGCACAGTCCTTGTGAATCGGGCTTTCTCTGGCCACGTCCTGGGCCTGCCCCGTCTTACTGGCCCCCCAATCGGGCGCAATAGGTGCGAACTTGTTGTGAGAAGACCTCCAGGAGTTGCCTCCCGACCCTCCCCGTCCCCCCCCTCGCCCCACTCCCCGCCGATGGGCATGGCGTCGGAGCCCGACGGCGCTTTGGGGGGCGGGATTCTGGAACCACAGCTGGAGCAGCTGTCGCGCATGCTGGAGGCGCCAGCGCTGCCTCTTCTTCTTCCTCCTCCTCCTCCTCCTCGTCCATCATCTTCCATACAAGGATCTCTCCCATGCCGCACGCCCAGACGTGTCGATAAGGCGAGGCTTCGCCTCGTTGCATTCAGACATTCTTACCGTTTGTGATTCCGACGCCTACGTTTCACACTTTTCAAGGATGGACGGAGGGTCGCTTCAGGATGGCATGTCCGCATTAGCGCCGCACACATTCGTCCAAAGGTGTTGCAGTAGTCAGTTTCCCGCGCATTCGTTGCAATATGTTGCAACAGCTTCAAGGATGGAGGAGGCTGTTTTGAAAGTAGGCGCTGCGCACATTCGAGTTAACATTTTCAGCAGTTCTAACGATAGAGGGGGTTCGTTTTCGAAGTGGGGCTCTCGATTTAGCGCCCATCGCGGGACTTGCAACGGGAGGATACATTCAAACATCGCTGATGCATCTTGGGTTTATTGTGGTCCTCCTCCTCCTCGTCCACCTCGTCTTTCTCCTCGTCCTTCTTCTTGGCCTCCCTGCTTCATTCTCCCCTCCCTTTCCCCCTCGTTTCGCTCTTCCTCCTCCTCGTCCCTCCCTCCATTCCTCGTTCTTCCCTTCTGAGTCCTCCTTTTTCCCCTCTTCCCCTTCCTCCTCGCTCCTCCATCCTGCTTCCCTTCTCCTCCTCCCCCCTGCTCCTTCGTTCCCTTCTCTTCCCCTTCGGCCCTACGTCAGTCGAACGGTAGCCTACTAACTGTTCCTGCCTCCTTGCCCTGTCCGATCATTTACCATTTCCCTCGGCCGTTTTGCGCGGGGGCACGGAAAAAGGGATCTCTTTCCGTGCCGGTGTGCGACTAGTGTTACCAATGCGTTAGCGCACGTACACAAGCAACGCTTGACGTACATCCCGTTGTCAGAGTCCCTCCTCCATTCCTTTTCCTTATACATCGTTCATGTCTGTCGCACCCCCAGACGTGTCAGTAGGGTGGGCAGGGTGTTTCGCCTGCGACATCTTCACAATGTATGATTATGAAGCTTGAATTCTGCAACAGCTTCAAGGATGGAGAGCGGGCCGTTTTCAAACTGTGGCTATCGCTTTCGCGCCGCGCGCGTTCGTCTTCAACGTTTGCAGCAGTTCCACGGCTGCAGGGCGAATTGTTTTCAAAATGGGGTTCTCGCCTTGCGGCCGCGCACATTCGTGTCAAAAGTTCAAACAGTGGACGTATTTTCTCGGAGGTCGTTCGGAGCCGTCTTGGGTCTCTCTTGGGTTCATCGCGGAGCCATTTGGGGCACTTTTGGGGCCCTCTTGGGGCTCTTTTGGGGGGTCAAGGGGGCCTCTTGGGCTGGGTGGGCTCTTGGGAACGTTTTGGGCCCCCCTTTGGGCTCTCTTGGGGCCATCTTTGAGGAGATCGATCAATGAAGGGGGGGAATCAATTTAGCCCCCCCCCTCTCCCCCCTCGGAAGCTCCAAGGCGGCCTCTCGGGCCGCTCTTGGGCGCCTCTTGGGCGCTCTTGGGGCCCTCTTGGGGCCCACTTGGGCCCCTCTTGGGGCCCTCTTGGGGCTCTCTTCGGTCGTCTCGGGGCCATCTTGAGGCCTCGAGAGCTCATCGGAAGCGAAAAGGCGAGACGGCAACCAACATTGATTTCCTGAGGTTTTTGCAGGGATTGGGCCTCCTGTGGGGGTCCTTGGAGGGCTCGGAAGGCACTTGAAACCGTCTTGAGGCCGTCTTGAGGCCTCTTGGATATATCTCGGAGCCCTGAACCATCTTGAGGTATCTCCTGTGGCATCTTGGAGGCCATCTTGTGCTCTTCGAGGCCCTCTTGGAGCCATCTTGGGGCGGGGCGCCCCGTCAGGCCCAGGGGAGAGAGTAGGGGGAGGGGTCAAGGCATCCTCCTAGATATCAAGCCGTCTAGCTCACTCCCACCCGCCCTTCAAACACATAAGTAACACCGGAGCCTCTGCATGTTCAGTGGTCGTCTTTGGATGGGCAGCTACTGGGAGCCAACTTCGAGCCCGTGTGCGCGACGTTGGGGCGAGGTGCGCCAGGCCCCCCCCGGGGCACGAGCGTGCCAGGCACGCCTGGTGCGCCAGATGCGCCACGTGCCTCCGCGTGCGCCAGGTGTGCCGCGTACTCTAACCGCGCCAGGTGCGCCACGTTCGGGGCACGTGCAGAGTGTGTCAGGCGCGCCTGCGCACGTGACAACACACATCGGGAAACAGGTCGGCCCCCACCATCCATGTCGAAGACCTGTGTCCATCATTGTGTCTGGTGGGCCTGCGCACAGCTGGCCATACGTCACCACTTGTCAGGGATCGCGGGGTGGCCACGCATGATCAAGGTTTAGCCGCGGGATGCATGATGTAATGTTTTTTGTCAGGGAAGGTAGCCCTGCCCGCAGCAGGCAATGCGCCGACACCCCCGCCGTCCCTGTCAAACAACCTGACAAAGTGCTCATGGGCCTCACGATCATTACTCTGAACTTTGCCCTACATTGTACTTTGTATTGATTGTTGGCAGGGATGGTGGGGGTTGGCCCTCATGGGATTATCATTGTTCCTGGTTCGCTGCTGGTCGCCTGGGGCAGGGGGTGTATATTAGTAGGAGCAGTGAATAACTCTCCCCCGAGCAGCAAAGTAAGGGGTTGTTGCAAGGAGCTCCGTCAAACCACTCAGCCCAGGGGGCTGGTGGGACTGATAGGCACGCGATCTCAGGAGGAGTTGTCGGAGGTGCTCGTGAAAGCCACGTGCAGTCTGGGCGGTGTTTTCCGTACGAATTGCAAGCTCATGCGCAAGTGGCATCCCATCCGATCTCCCACACAGGTTTCCATGCCCTTCCTGTCTGCCATGAACGCGTGCTGTCGCGTTGCGCTGTGTTCATGATTTTATGCGTGACTGTGCTGTGTTGGAAGGCCAAATGTCATCAGAACTGGCGTTCCGCTAAGGTCCCACTCGATGCGTTCTCGAGCGTGTTGCGCCTTCAAATTGGGTCCCCAGCGCGACAATGCCAAACCATAGGGCTGGTCCGTGTTAGCGAGGTGGACTTACGACCCCACCAGATAACCGCGATCCTCAAGTTCCTGAGCTGAGCGACACGTGCAAGTGTTTTTTTTTGGGGGGGGGGGCGAAACAGTGACAACACTTAGTCGGTCTCAGGTGTAGTTGTCGCAGGTGCTTGTGATAACGACGTGCAGTCTGGGACGTGTCTCCGTATGTATTGCGACCGTATGCGTAAGTGGCATCCCATCTCACCCTTCACACAGGTTGCCAGGCCCTTCTTGCCCAACATGGCAGCGCTCTATCGCTGAGCGCCGTGTTTGGACGATTAATGTTCTGAAACCTGTTGGTTTGTTCTCACACAGGTTACCAGCCCCTTCCTGTCTGGCACGGTATCGTTCTTTCGCTGTATGGGTGCCAACAAAACTGGCGGTCCGCGAAGTTCTTGTGATAGCCACGTGCAGTCTGGGTGGTGTTTCCGTACGCATTGCGAACTCGTCCGCAACTGGCATCCCATCTCACCTCCCACCAGGTTGCCAGACCCTTCCTGTCTGCCATGGCAGCATTCTGTCGCGTTGCGCTGTGCTGGAATATTCATGTTTCGATGCGTGTCGTTTCTCCCTTGCATTGCTAGGCCGAGTGCCATCAGAATTGGCGGTCCGCTGAGGTCCCACTCGACATGTTCTCGAGTGCCTGGCGCATTCAAATCGGGACCCCAGCGCGACAGTGCCTAAGCATGGGTCTAATTTGCTGGTCAGTGAAGAGAGAAATCTGGTCCGTGTTAGTGAAGTGGACTTAAGACCCCACCAGATTACCGATGACCGCGATCCTCAAGTTTCTGAGCCAGTCGACACGTGCAGCTGTGTCGTGTGAAGCAGTCACAATGTTTTGCGGCAGTAGTCACAACACTTGGTCGGGTTCAGGTGTAGTTGCCAAAGGTGCTTGTGATAACCACATGCGTTCTGGGAGGTGTCTCCGCATGCATTGCGACCGTGTGCGCATCTGGCATCTCATCTCACCTCCCACACAGGCTGTCAGGCCCTTCCTGTCTGACATGGCAGCGTTCTGTCGCGTAGCGCAGTGTTGGACGCTTCAATGTTCTGAACCATGATGGTTTGGTGTTGCCAGCAGGTTTCGAGACCCCACTAGATTATCATGGGTCTCAGGTGGCTGAGATTAATGGCATGTGCAGATGCGTGTGAAAGTGGCCATGCTAGGTGTAAATATACAGCATGATAGCGTCTCAGGTGTAGTTGTCGCATGTAGCTTCTGTAGCCAGAGTCAGTGTCCGATTATTCGATATTCGGAGGCTCTTCCGTATGCACTTCGTCATTGAACGTAGTCGGCATCTCTGTTCGTTTACATGCCAGGCATCGCGATGCGTCGTCATGTTGTGTAGGCCTTTCCCTTCTTGTTTGGAACTGTTGTGATCCTTCTCAAGTCCCATTGTCTCGCCTGTCTCTTGCTCGATACATCTGTGGTAAATGTCCAGCCATTTTTCTCGTCTTCGAGATTTAGATCGCTGACGCGACGATTCTATCATCCAGCGTTTGCGCAGTGCAAGCAGGAGGGGGGACCTCAGAGCCCCCGCGCAGGCAGTGCTGCGCGACCCGGCGGACCTCACCTACGTGAGGAACGACGGGTTCGCCATGCTCAGCGAGGCTTTCGCATTCGCTCTCGATCTCCGCCCCTCCAGGGGGTCGGAGACTTCAGCGTCCCAAACAGCGAACCCGTCGCGACCCCAATTAGGGGTCTCCTTTGCCGAGGCAGGTCTATGCAAAGCATTGCTTGGCATTGCTTGGCATTGTCAGGCATCGTTGATTGGCATTGCTTGGCATTGCGTGGCAATGCTTGGCATTGCTTGGCAATGCTTGTAATTGATTGGAATCCGGGCGAGGAACCCAAGGAACCTGGGCGAGGAACCCGAGGAACGGTGCTGAACCCAAGCAAGGGACAAGACCAAGGAATCCGAGGAACTCCGGGGAATGCCCCGAGTAACCCAGCTAAGGAACAAAACCAGGGAGTTTGAGGAACCCCAGGGAAGGCTTCTGACAATTGATCCCGGACCCACAGGTTACAAACAAGTGAGAACCCCATAGGCAAAGCCAAATGAGTGAAAAAGGTCGGAACAGCATTTTCAATGTTCCGAGCTGGTCTTCGACGGCTTGGGTTTGGTCCCTCGGTTGTGCATTGAATGACCCGCGGCGCGAAATGCATCTGAGAGGCGGGGTCGAGAGCCCACGCGTGGAACAAAATGGAAGCCAGAGGTCTGGGCTCGGGCAGCCTCACCGCCAGCCCTGCTCCGCCACTGCCCTCTCAGTTGGCCCCCCTTTTAGTTTGTGCATCCCCTCCGCGGTCCATCCGCCCCTTCCCGCCCGTCCGCCCCCGCCGCCTCCGTCCCAACCCGGCCGCCACCGGTGCCACACTTCCTGTCGTCCTCACCCCCCTCCGCCCGTTTCCGCCTCTCCCGCCGCCTCCGTTCTTGCCTCCACTCACCCCCCGCCCTCCTCTCTGCCACCTCCTCTCCTCCCTTCCCCCTTCTCCCCGTCCGTCGGTGGCACGCAGACGCGCGGGGGGGGAGCAGGCCGGGCGAGCAGGGGCGGCCTTCCACTGAGGCATGGGGGGGTAGGCCTCGCAAAAGTCTCACCCGGGCCTTCGCCGCCCCGCCCCCCCCCTGCCGCCCCCCCCGCCCGTTCCCCTCCCCCTCCTGCGCGTCGCCCCCCCCCCCCCCCCCTCGCCCCGCACCCGCTCCTCGCCGCTCGGAGGGCACCAACAACTGTGCACCTGCACCGATCCTCGCCAGTATCGGTGCGTTTACCTTCCCGCCCATGCCGAGAGGGCGTATGCACCGATCCCGGGCCCAGGATGAGCCTGGCCAGGATCGGTGTAGGTACACAGCTCGCGCCCCCCCTCCGAGGTGCTGATGACCGAGCAGGTCGGGCCGCTCGCCGACGGCTTGGCGCCTGGGGCCCTGGCGGCTCTGCAGGCCGAGGACGAGCCTCCGAGGACGCGCCTCGGCCGCGTCTTTGTCTCTGTCTCTGCCTTTGTCGTCGTCCTCGTCGCCGCCGCGTCGTCGGCGGCGGCGGCGGCCGCGTTGTCCTCGGGGAGGCTCTGCACCCAGGCCTTTGGCGTCCGACGACCTGGCTTCCCCGAGCCCGCGCCCTGCGGCGGCCCGCCTGGGCCCGCGCCGCGAGGTCTGCGCGGAGGGCGAGGTTGGAAACTCCAGAGCCACACACGCCGCAATTGGCAATCACCAGAACGTCAGGTGTGTGGTGGAGGGGGTCCCTGACCCCTTTGCGTTGTGAAGAAGTCACGACGGGGTGCTTTCGCCTTTCTGGGCGTCTGGGGGCCCTTGCCGGGCCTCGTGGCCGTCAAGAACCGACTCAGGATGAAAAACCAGTTCCGGGGAATGGGTCCAGATTTCTGGGGGTCGACGTCATGAACAAATCATGACGTCGGGCGGGTCTGGGGTGGGTGGGGGGGTCTGAGGGGGAGGGACAGGAAGATGAGGAACGCCAGGCGATGAGGCAGATGAGGGAGGCGACGGCGAGGAGGTGAAGTGGGAGCAGCAGGAGTGGGGAGCAGTAGGTCGGGTGACGCCAGCCATCCACCTGAACCGACCCTGGCCAGACCAATCTTGGGCCCAGGATCAGCTCGGGCAGAGTCCGTGCATGTGGACAGTGGGCGCTCTTTGGCTGATCGGTGTAGGTGGATCGGTGTACGGATCCTTTTGGGCCGCTCTTGTGGTTTGTGGCCCTCAGGGGGGCCCTCATAGGGGACTCTCGGAGGACCTTGTCAGTCTCTCGGGGCCGCGGGGCTCGAGAAGATTCCTGCTCGTCCTCTTCGCCAAACGGTCAGGACCGTTTGTTCCGCGTGTGGCGCCGCCGGTTCTGGCCGGCTCCCTTTCGGCGCAATTTGCTACGCACGTCCCAGCCCCCAAGGCATCAACGTTCCGAGCTTTTCCCAGCATCCCGTCCCACGAAGCAGAGCGGCATGCTTCTGCTTGCAAGGCATGGTGTGTCGCACGGGCTGATGCTGCGACACGCATTGCAGGAGTTCCTCACCACACCTTCCCTTCGCCTTGTCCTGTGCTGACAGCTTGCTGACACAATGCCAGAAGCGCCAGCTGGTGCTGCAAAGGTCGAGAGGTGGAAGCAGGCGGAAAGGGTGCTCAAACAGCTCAGCTCACAGAAAGTACAAATCGTGCTGAGTTGGTCCAGTAGGGCCACTCGTTGCCCGCGGGGAAAACGGACCCGCGGGGCCCCCAAGGGAGAGAGGGCTCTTTACCTCTCGGAACGCGGCGGCGATGCGCGCCGTCCTTGGCAGCCGGGGGCGTGAGCCCTCTCCGCGCCCCGGCCTGTGGCGGCGGGAACGCCTGCTCCCCCCCGTGCCGCATGGGCAAGCCAAACGGGCAGGTCGGGTGGGCCTTCGATGAGAGAGGGACTCGTGCGCTGCGAGCCAGAAAGGCTTGAGCGTGCCCCTCCCTCTTTCTCGGACCTCTCACCCTTTAAGCCTCACGTACTAAGCTACAGCAACGAACTACCGATTTGGAGCGGCACAAAACGTGCCGATTTGGCCCAGTAGGGCAACTCGGCGCCCGCGGGGAGAACGGACCCGCGGGACCCCCCAAGAGGGCCCGGGAAGTGCCGCTGCAAGCACTCGGCCGCCAGCGCCGGGCACAGGGCCTCGCTGGTGCAGCAGTGGCTGCGCGCCGCTCACGCTTGCAGCTGGTCAGCCTTGGAGCCCTTGAGCCAGACGATGACCTCGTTGGCCTCTTTAAGGTTCGATGTAGGACGGCCCTCGCTGCGCGCGGCTACGTCGCCGCCCGCCAGTGCCTTGCTGTGATCCCAGCCCCCACTCCACGCGTGCTCCCCGACACGCATCAAGAAGAACCAGGTGGTGGCCAGCGCGCACCAGATCACGACGTGGCCCGGCACGTCGGCCAGGGTACATGTAGCCAGGATCTGCATCATCATGCCCGCCGTGGCGGGCAGCTTCCGACCCAGACATCGGATGTCTCGAACAAATCGTAACGGAGTTTTTTCGTAGTTTTTGGCCTCTCGGGGCCCTCACCAGGCCTCGGGGCCGTCGCAAAACGACTCGGGATGGAAATCCGGTCCCGGGGAAGTGGTCGGGAGGTCGAACGTCGGACGTCTGGGGAGGACGTGCTCCATCACGTCGCGCAAGCCCCCTCAGAGCCAGCCAGGACAGCGGCTTGCCTGCGAGCGGGTCCCCCGCTCCGATCGCCTCGTGCTGGTGCTTGGTGCTGAAGTGGCGCTGCTTGACCGTGCCCAGAGCCTTCTTCATGGTCGCGCCCAGGTGCGCGATGAACAGCAGCAGCTCCACTTCGTCGTTGCGGCGCTCGTCCGCCTTGGCCGCCTCCTCTTGGAGGATAGGCGACCGCCTTCGAATCCGACAGAACTGCGTCCACTGCCTCCAGCCCAGCTCGTAGACCTTGCAGGCGCTGTCCGCGACCGCCTCCAGCACCAGCTGGACCTTCGCGCTCTCGAGGTCCTCGAAATAGTGCTGGCCTCCGATCGGGGTGCTGCCTGCGCGGCGCTGCGGGCAGTCCGTGGGTGTCGCCCCGGCGCGCCGCAAGAGGCCCAGGGGGTCATTTTGAGGCTCGTCCCTGGGCTCGGGCCGTAGCCCCGCCGCCGCGCCCTTGGGCAGAAGGGGGGGAGCGCTTGGCCACGGACACCCCTGGCGCTGGCAGCCAATGGCCGACGCGCCCGTCGGGGGTGCGCCGACGGACCGCCGCCGCTCCCGCGGGCTGGGGCGTCGCCCGGGGGTGGCAGATGCTCGCTCTGCCGCTTGGGGGTCGGCCTTGCCCACCCCTTTGGCGGCCCAGGGCCGGCCCCTTGCCCGCTCGGCTCGGAGTCGCTGGCCGTCATCTCCATCGGCGAACGCGGCGGGGTCGAACTGGCCAGCGCCGTCGAGCCCGGGGGCGTCAGGCCAGCTAGCATCGCCTGGATGTCCGTCGCCTCGGAGCGGAATCCAGCCAGCATCGCCTGGGGTATGTCGGGCGGGCTTTTCGGCCGTGGCGCTGCTTCCACCTGCGATGGCGGCGGCGGGGGGGCCTCATGCCCGCGCCGCGCTGGTCGCGATGGGTCGCGGAGGGGGGGCCCGTCCTGATCGTGGAGTGGGGCCGCCATAGCGAGGGCGGCTGCCCGCGCCGGCTGAGGCCTGGCGTGGGTGCTCCTCTCGCCGCCCAGCTCCTCCGACGACGAGGTGGGGTCGCAGGGTGCGACTTCGTGGGGCTGGGGCAGGTCGCGCATGGGCGCCGTGATCGGGGCCGACGTCTGGCGGGGGCCAGCCAGCTTCTGTGCCGCTTTCAGGTTGCAGTGGTGGTGGGCCACGGGGTCCCGCCGCGGGCTCTCCGTCGGGGCGGACGGCTGCAGCCGCCGGAGCAGCTCGTCCCCTGGGTAGACCCCCCGCTCCCCTCGCAAGCCCAGTGGGTCCGTTCCTGCGGCCCCGACCCATTCGTTGGCGTAGCGGGTGTGGCGGTGGATCTACACGGTAGATATAGATCCACTCGTCCAGCACCTCTGGCATGCATTTCGTCTTCAGGGTGTCCCGGAGCGCCTGCGCCCTTATTCCGTCGTTAGGAGGGTCGGCCTGAACCAAGTTCGGGATCTCCTTGTCCTCGTTGTCGCCCGCCAGCGGCTTGTGCGGTACATGCGCCAGGGTTGCGCGTCCTGGGGGCGCCCGCCGCTTGGCGTTGTGCCCCCGCTGGGCTGGCAGCGCCACGGGGGGGGGGGCCTCCTCAGCTCTGCCATGGGGCCTGGCGGCGGCGTCGGCCCTCTCTCCTGTTTTTGCTCGCGCGGGCCCTGCATCGGCGGCGCGGCCTGCTCCTGGGACGGGTCCGCGAGCAGCCCCTCGGTCCCAGCGCGGCCGCGTCGGCCCGAGCGAGGGGCTCCTTTTTCGAGGTCGGCGGCAAGTAGCCCGATTCCCAGTGGCGCGTGGCCGCCCGCGCGTAGTGGGGCGCGAGTTCGGCGCGCAGGGCGGCCTGCCCGGCCTCCGTCATCATGGCGCGGTGCCCCCCGCCGATGCTCAGGGCGCCTCAGGGGGTCGGGCGCCCGCGGGCTGGGCGGGGGGCAGGTCCCGTCGCTGGACAGACGAGCACCCCTGCTGGTCGGCCGTCTCTCTCCTCTGCCTCTGCGGCGCCGGCGTCGCCTGCTGCTCGCGGCGGGCTCCTCGACCTTGGCCGCCCCGGCTGGGTTGGGGTTCCTGCGGCAGGGCTTGAAGTGCCCCGCGCCTCCTAGTGCCCACCGCTGCGCTGCCTCATCTCCTTGCTCTGCCAGGTCGCGGCCGTGGCGCATGTTGCAGCGGTGGCCCGCCTGGGCCCGAGCTCTCGCAGGATCGCGATTGGCCGCGTGCCAGCATCCCGTCTCACGAGTCAGGCACCAGCGGCGCTGCAGGCTGGGGTGGGGGCGGCGCCGCGGCCGCGGCGGCTGCTCCTTCAGCGGCTGGCCCCGCGGCTGCAGCTGGGGGTGGGGGGCCTGTCTCGCGGGCGGGGCCGCGGTCTGCCGGCCCCGGCCCCTGTGGCTGACCTGGGGCCTCAGCCCCCTCGCGCAGGGGCGGGCGCCAGCCCCCCCGCTTCTCTTCGTCGGGATCCTGCGCCCCGCCGCGGCGGGCCCTCGGAGCTGGCGCAGCGGGTGGTGGTGGCCTTCATTTGCTCCGGGCGCTCCTGTAGCCATGCGCCCATCTTCTCGCGCTTCTCGTCGTCCTCTGGGCGGCGGCAAACTCCCGCGCGGGGGGCGGCGGCCGGCGGCGGCTCGGGCTGGCCCAGCGCGGCCGCGATCGCGGCCTGCGCTGCGCCAGGGGGGGCGCCCTTAGCGCCCGAGCCAGCTGGGCGGCTTGGTTCCCTCCTCCGTCCGTCCCGGACCAGTCCTCGGCCGACCCCCCCCCCTCCTTCCTGAGGGGGCGAGCCGCAGCCCTGGGCCCTTCGGGTCCGCGATCAGGATCTCGCGAAGGCTGATCCCCCCGAACAACAGCGTGGGGGTCGG